AGGTTTAATACATTTATATTTAATTGGTTTTTATTGAATACCGATTACCTCCGCCTCCCGACGAGAATTTCCATTCGCTATAATTAAACTCCTGTCCATTAAACTCGTCAGACCAGACCAGATGCCATTGCTTTCCCTCGCACTCAACAATTGCCAAATAAATGCCAATTAATAACCAAATCAGAATCCATTTATCCATTTATTGTTTGGATAGACTATTAACTTATACTAATTAAAAAGTAATTACATTTAATTATACTTATATTATCATGGTGTTTGTTCTGATAGCATATGTTTTGATTGCGAATTATTCAATCTATTGTTATGTTATAATTTAATTTAGTGCAGTATTTATACATTAGCTTTTGTCGATTATTTTACATTATATTTTGCACATAATTAACATAAGTACACACATTATCAATAGATCTGTTGATATTTGTTAAATTTAAAATTATTTCAAATGCATGTGTTATGTGACTGTTGAGGAAAGAGAGCCATGATTTCTTATCTCTTACTTTTAGGCAACTTTACAATTGAAAAGAAACTGAAATTTTGATGACCCACTCAAACAATATTGTGATTAAAATGTATCATGATTCATGAATTTACTTAATTTATTGCATAAATAGTTTAATATGTTGAGTAATTATTACATGTAAGAAGAATTTCGGATTATTTTGGTCTTAGAGCTCAACTTTATTTTAAAATTTTATTACAAATTTATTTGCTTATCGGCGGGTATTTTCTCTTGAATTTTTTATATTGTATCCATTTATCAAATAGCAATTGGTAGAGATTTGAGACACATTTAAGTAACTTACTATTTTAGATAATAAACACATTATTGGTTGTGTTGAAACATTTTGGTACAATCTAACCAAGGTAATATTACTATATCTGATTTTTTGTTTAGGAATACATTATTTTTAATTTTAATTTGCTAAAATATTGAAAACTTTCAAGCAATGTACACAGTATTGTTGTTTACTGTATATTAATGCACATTGTATTTAATCTTGCTTATTAATTTATATAACTGAATTCTGTTGTGCCCCCTATAAAAAAATATTAGAATCTTCTTAGAAAACATTCTTATATTAAAGTATTTATTGTAATAATACTTTATTGCATTACATAATATGAGATTTCTTACAATGTATTCAATTGGATATTGGAAGTTCTTTAATGCATTTTCTATCCATTTATATATTTTTGATATTACTACAAAACTAATCAAAATTTACCTACTTAACTTTTGAACTGTAGTACAAATCTATATATTATCATCACTGATCCAAACATCTTCTGATTAGTTTAAATTAAATAAAATCCACTTAATAGACATTATTATTTAACTATAGTAACTTTTCTGTTACTAATGTTTAAAACTTTTATTCTTTAGATAACGAAAATTTAATTTAGGTTGAAATTAAATTTATTTAACAAATATTTAATTACATGTATTATGAAAACAACAGCAAACGATTTATTTCCATTGATAAACGCGGAGGTAATCGATTTCCATTGTGGGCTTTTCCCAATGTCTCGCCTCTTCGACAGTCACTTGTTTTCCGTATTGACTTTCGGGGAAGAAGTTTCCGCCGACCGCTATGTTTAGTATCCAATGGAAGGGCTGATCAAATGGGGCCACATTGTGGTTGTATGGGTTCGGGCCCTTTCCCGACCACATATTCTTATTGATGCCTTCGTAGTGGTATTCCTTGCCGTCGACCAACCATTTGATACCATTTCGGTCCCATTCGATGCTGAATAAGTGAAAGTCGGCCGAGAAATCAACGCCCAGATCACGCTCTCCAGAACCGTGCCATACATTGTTAGGGGCGACACCACCATGGTGGATTGTGCCCTGAGTTACTCGCGGTTTCTGGCCTCTGGCCTCCATTATGTCGATTTCACCGCTCGCTGCCCTGTAGTGAGAGAGAGAGAGAGAGAGAGAAATTAGTACAAACATACTGTATATTAAACACAAGTGAATTGTGCAAAATTACAAACCATGAGCCATAAACGTCGCTCTGAGGCATCATCCAAATGGCGGGCCATAAATGTTTGCCTTTCGGTAGTTTAGCTCTGGCCTCGAACTTGCCGTATGTCCAGCCCTTATGGGAGTCCATTCGGGCGGATGTGAAGTGTCGGCCCCCCTGTTCCTCAACGCGGGCCTGAATGACAAGGTGTCCGTTCTCTACTCGAGCGTTGTTTGTGTGCTTTTGTGTGTAAAACTCGAGCTCATTATTACCCCAACCTTTAAATGCAATATAATTGTACAAATTTGTGCGAACAATGAGGTGAATTGAATGGTATACCTCCGCCTCCGGTCTGATACCACCACTCGGCATCACTCGGACTTCCACTCCCGTTGAACTCCTCAGACCAGACCTGATGCCAGTCCGCCGCACAACCACTTAATAAAGTGGCAGACAATAGGAATATCACTGAAAGCATCATTTTTCCTGCAATTAATGACTGAATATAATTGTATTTTTTGCTCCCTTTTTATAGCATTTGATAACAATCGCAATTCAATGATAATTTTTGATTGTTTTTGCATTAGAGCTCTACTTTTTTAATCTACTGAATTGTGCGTTCATTTGCTTATCGGCGGCTCTTTTCTCACAAAATTATCCACAAATGTATTCAATTAATGATATTATTGGCTGTGCTTTAAGACACATACATTGTTAAGTGAGTTACATCTGTAAAAGCATCTCAGATAAAGTGCATTAATAATGCAGTATTATAGTTAAGTTGAAGTATTTGCGTACACTTTGACCGATTTAATATTACGCTATTATATTTTTATGCTTACAAAACTACATTGATCACTTTTCATTTAATTCATAATTAATCTTTGTAAAAATATAAACTAGAATAATATACTATTTATTCTGTTAACTTAAAGCACTCTATATTTAACCTTGTAGTTTAATTTAATGCAACCGTTAATAAGACCTCTCAATACTTTTCAATAAGAATTGGTATTTTTAATATTGTTGATTAATAATATATATTATTAATATTGTGTTACATAATATGTTTTCAACTAAATTAATCAAATAATAGATATTAAAAACCAGTTGCTGCTGCACCAGGATGAAACTGTACATTGCAATACAACATTTTAACCTAATTCTGGGCACAAAATTAGTACACAAGAAATATTTAAAATTATATTTAGTTGAAAAGTTTATAGATTGTGCTATATAAGTTATATGGTTAATGGTTAAAGGGAGGCCGGGGCTGAAACATATTGAACGTGGTTAATGAATCATCAAGTTTGTTAATCAACTATTATTCATGATAAACGTTACAATTATTGCAGTCATCAGATGCCCTGATGCTAATAATATGTATTAATATATAGTAAATGCGTTTAAACCCCATTCGTTATATTAGTATACTCTGTATATGAATGAATTATGAATAGTGTATAAATTATAACACATTTGAATAATGCTGTGTACACGCAGGTGAGAGTTATATGATATAACTTATATCATATAACTCTCAATGAAACAATGATATTATATCATTTAATTTATTAATTATAATTATTAGTTATTAATTATTATTAAATTATTATTAATTTAGTATTCATTTATTAATTGACTTAAAATTATTAACTCATTAAATTTTTAAAAAATTTTAAGTACCCAATAATGAAAGTGTTTGTTACCTTGATATAAACTCTTATTTTTCAAGTATTGACATTTATTATCAATCTTTTGTTTATTTGAAAAATGATGCTTTCAGTGATATTCCTATTGTCTGCCACTTTATTA